ACTCGCCCTATAGGAAAAACTTCTAAAAAAAAAAAAAAAAAAGGACAGCCGGATCCCATGTGGCCAGCTTTGTCCTTCAAGGTGATTTCTCACTCTCCCACCCCCTCTCTGTCTCTCTCTGGAGAACACATGCGCCATATAGCAAGAAAACAAAACAAAAAAGACTAAAAAGAAGCAAATTACAAAATGATATATATGATCCTGTTTATGTAAAAAGTACAAATATGAGAATTTTTTTCATGGGTTACTTGTCTTAAAAACTTCAGCAGCAACAACCAGAAAAAGTTTTCTCTGGTCCTTTATAAGGTACAATGCTGCTATTACCTGAGGTCATTATTAATCAAGAGAAGTCGTCTGTTATCTGATAATAGGCGTGAAGAGCATCTTCTTCCTCTTTTTTTTTGGAGAGGTTTTTGCTGTAGGGCGCATGCACTCACCAGAAAGACAGAGACAGACAGACAGAAAGCAAGAAATCACCCCCCAGGGGGGATGGCCACGCCGCAATCCCTTCTCCTCCATTCTCCTCTCGGGAGCTTGGGCACGCATGCAAATGCACCCGGGGTGAGTTTAAGCCACCAGGTCCAGGACTCGAACCGCGGTCGACTACATGGGAGTCCAGCAACATAGCCATTATGTCAACTGCTGGTCCCAAAATGTGCACGTTGAGAGAGACAGAGAGAGAGGGGGACTCGATGCCGCAATCCTCCAGCCTCCACAGGATTTTGCCATAGGGCGGGTGCCACCGCACCCCAAGAGCATCTGGAATGTGCTGGTTCTCATCGACTCTGCTGTCACCATGGAGCGCCACACCCTCGTCCAGTAGTTCCTCTGGATTGGCGAGGTGGGGATGATTTAGGGTTTGGTGAATCGCAGCCAGTTACGCTCTGTTCAAAAGCCTTTCTCGTTGGACTTCTTGTGTGCGCGAAGATGATGTGAAATACCTCTCTGTGTTTTGTTTTCAAGGGTCACATGGATGAGGATGTCCAGGCAGCCCTACTCCAGATCATACAGATGCGGCAGGGGCTGGTGTGCTAGCCGGAGCCCCGAGGGCCAGAGACTGCTCTCCAGCTGGTGCTGAGCCTTCAAGTGCAGCTCCACGGCCCGCCTGGGCCCTTCCCGTGCTAGTATGACGGAAACGAATTAGGTTTTGTGCCGTCAGTAGATTTCTCTAATTAGATGGGTATGTTACTGAGTTTTCGAGTATCAGTTAAAATCTTGTGTTCCATAGATATTTTTTTTTTTCAGTTAGACAGCATTACACTTTGCTTTGGATCGACCACATATTTTTAAACCTTTGGGTTTCTCATAGAACATGAGCCACCGAGTGGACCCATACCAAAAGGAGTTAGACTGAAATGATTACGATTTCTTTCAGTGAAGTTAATCTGGTCGCTAGCCACTTAGTGGATCAAAGACCTTTCAGGTCCTCAGTGGAGCCTTGAGACCTGATGCGGTTTCAAAGAATGCGTTGTAACCTGGCTGGCCGAGCGGCGTCTTTACTGAGGTAATTTAACGAGAGCCCTTGACTTCTCTTGGAGGTACCGAATTTTTTCTTCTTCACATTAATAACTTTTAAAGTAAACTTCTTTTCATAAATGGTTTGCAGTGCTAAATTGCATTTAGATTAAAAGCAGGCAGGGGTGGAGTATATCAGGAATTTATAATAAAAGTGCTTATCCTCTCTTCCACGGCATCTCAGTTTTGACTTGTGGTGACTTTGCTTGCCACAGTATTGAGAACTATAATAAATGGTATATTTATCATTTTTTATCATTTTTAGAGGTTTCAAAATGTCAAAAACTTTAGGCTTTTGTTTGGCAGTTACTTTGACATTCGCTGCTATAGTAACTGAGCACTCATACACGCATCCTCCAGACGCCTCTTATTTATAGGAGAGCTGTGCTAATGAGGTTAATCATGTGAAATGCAGCTTCCCTGCAAAATTAGCACCGGAGAATTGATTTTAGAAAACAGATCTTTAAGGTTTGAGATGAAAGTGCAATATACAGTAAACTGAGTATAGACAGGAAGAGAATATTGAGGCTGGACTCCAAGGTAACCAACCGTGTTTATGAACTGCATCTCGTTAAAGAAAGTTTCCATGTCCTGGTATTTTTGCTAATAGTTGGTTTATCATTCAGCTTGAATATTGCTAATTTGGCTGTTAGCAGATAACCAGACGAATGAATCATGCCAGCTGAGTTGTCTTAATTTGCAAAATGTGCCTTAGCCATAATCTTTTAGTATCCTGGTCCAGATTTGTATTTCCCTTTTTGTATAATAGAAGAAAGGAACTATCAAAATAGCTTTTCACACCAAAGAATAAGCCATCACACTTCTTCCATGCAGAAACAGCAGTGAAAAGTCAGAGTGGGATTTATTTCTCAGGCTTTAGGTCGCTGTCGACAGTGTACCTAAACCCCATCCTGTTTCTTTAATTGTTACAGTGAATGTCGGCCTTTGTGGGAGTTCTGCCTCATGAATTCAGGCTCCCTGTCAGAGCTCTGCAGCGGAGCGAGTTCTAAGTGGAATACTCACCAGCAGTGTGCGGTTTCCTTATCAGGGGTGGGGAGGGACTCTTATGTGTATTTTATTTTGTCAACTCTCAATAAACTGTTTCCTGGAGACTCTTGTTTTGAACATCCTTGTGTTGCCAGACGTGGGCATCCACACCCCAAGTGCAAGAACCCAAAGCAGGTCTGACCCCTAGCTGCCCCGATGCAGAGAGTGCCGAAAGCGTTGAGGAGAGCAGAGGAAAATTTGGCCACAGGGAGGACACGGAAGAACCTCTTGGATGGGTCCGCCAAGCTACAGGTGCTTTTCTGGGGGAAGGCAGAGGCTCCGGGGCTGACAGCTCGCTATAGAAAAGCTCAGCGAAGCATAGACCGGTGAGTCTTTAGCTGGGGGCACAAGTGAGCAGCCTTAGAGCCAGGGGTCTCAGTCTCAGCTAAGGGGTACAGTCCTACGAGTCACTTCAAGGTGGGAGCTCGGCGCGAGGCTGGGCCAGCGTTCTCAGTGCTTCAGCTCCAGGCAGGCCGTTGTCTCCTCGGAGCTCCTGTGAGAAACCTCCAACAAAGAGCATCAGGCTGAGAGAGAGCTTTTGACCATAACAAGATGGAGTCAGTCTGGCTAAGCAGGGCCCAGTACACGTGTGAAAAAGCCTGCAAGTCCATTTGCTATCTTGGGAGGATTTGGGTAGAAAACAGTGGGGTTCAAAAACAGGATGATGGTACTGGCTTTCAGTCTGCCATGCCGAGAAATATGTATCCTGTCTGTTTGAAATAATCCGCCATCTCATTTGTCACCTTTTGATCGTGAAGGCAGAAATCTCCTTAATAACACTGCACACTAAGGCTTTTTAGATAATAAACAGTGGTCCATGGAAAATGGATGACGACGGTCTCTCTGTCATTCTGCGTTCAGGAAGAATAGGAAGGCCGGACTTGGGCCACGGGGACGTGGGGCAGTTGGTCTGCAGCGCTGGACACAGCCCCGGAGGGTCCCTGCATTCCTAGGGCAGGGCAGTCCTGCGCTCTGGGCTGCTCTCTCCTGCTGTTGAGTTCTCGTCATTCCCGCTTCAGAAAAGCGTGTTTCTTTTGACAGTCAGTCAGTGTTCTAAAGAATGACCAATTAAAATGTTCATGCAATGAACATCTTAAATATTAATATTATAGTGACTGTTCACTAGCCATACCTGTATTCTAAAATTGCAGATAAATTTGGCATAGCCTTTTTTTAAAAAAGAATTTATTTTTCATTATTTTTAAATTTTGCTATAAGAAATGCATGCTCACTAGAGAGAGAGAGAGAAAGAGAGAGAGAGAGAGAGAGAGCAAGCCTCCAGATCTGGGTCTTGAACTGTGGTCAACCATGTGGGAGTCCAGTGCCCTAACTACCACACCACCTGCTGGCCCCAGCATCCTCTCGTATGGCTTGCTTTTTATTTAAATCTTGACTTGTGACTTTAACCAAATTTTATACAGTTTAAAATCTTCTGAACACATAGGCTCCTTGCTGTGTTAAAAATCTTGCCCCTTGGTGTCAGCAGGTGGTGTAGTGCTTAAGGTGCTGGACTCCCACATGGCCAACCACAGTTCGAGTCCTGGACCCAGCAGCTTGAAACTCATGCCTACGTGCATGCCCAAAATCCCGAGAAGAGACTAGAGAAGGGATTGCTGCTGGCCATCCGGTGATTTCTTGCTTTCTGTCTGTCTGTCGAGTGCATGCACCCTATAGCAATAGTTTGAAAAAAAAAAAAAATACAGGGTTAGGGGCCCGTGGAGGTTAAGGCAGCCGGGTCCCAGATGAGTGATGTTGAGATTCTAGTCCTGAACCCCGTGGTGTGAAAGTCACTGCCAGGTGTGTGCGCGTGTGTGCCCAAAATCCTGAGGGGAGAATGGAAGAGGAGCCTGGCGTGGCCATCCCACTCAGGGGCGATGTCTCACTCTCCCGCTGGCAAGTGCACGCACCCACTAGCAAATGAAAAAAACGTGCAGCTTTAGAAATGTCTGCCCCAGTGTTACAGCCAGCTTTCCTGGAGAACGCTCCGGTTTTATACATATATGTACATACGTATTTTGGTCCTCTAACAAGGTCCAAAAACAGTTCTCACACTCAGGCTTCTTACCTCCCTGGACAGATCATATTCTTCCGCTAACGCTTTTCAAAGTAGAGCCGGAAGAGCTTGACTTCATTTTTGGTGTCAGGAAGACTGTACGTGTGGACGCCTGCTTACACGAAGGCCAGATCTAAGGCCAGATCTTAGGAGCGGGGCTTCCAAGCTGCTCTCAGTTATCTTCTTTACCGTGGTGGAGCAAAACGACTTCTTGCCTCCTGTTGTCCTCGCCACTGGACTCTGCAATCTTGTCATCTTTTTTCTTCTTGCAAGTTATGTGCGCCAAAATGGCGGTATTTCAGGCACCAAAATACGGGCTGAAAGCAAATTCCTGTGATGAACATGTAAAACATGGCGGCATGAGTTCGGTAGGGAACAAAGAAGCTAGGTCTTCATCCTGGCCCCTGTGTCTATTTTTTTTTTCTGTACATGAGATTTTTGTTGTAGAGAGAGTGTGCTCACCAGAGAGAGAAAGAGAGACAGAAAGTGAGAAATCACACCCCCCCCGGGGGGAATGGCCACCCCGCAATCCCTACTCCTTCATCTCTCAGGATCTTGGGCACGCACACACACGCGTCCAGAGTTTCAAGCCGCTGGGTCCAGGACTTGAACATGGTCGACTACGTGAATGTCCAACAAGATAAGCATTATTCCATCTGCTGGGACCAGTGGCCCCTATATTTTAGGAATAATTTTCGGGGTTGGGGGGGAGCAACAGATTAGCAAAGGTACAGTTCGCACTGCAGATTAGACTGTGCGGAGCACACAAAGTGGAGACCAGTAGAGGGATTTCATTTCAGTCTGGCAGTCATGTCCCCAACTGAACTGGACCTGAGACTTGTTGCAGGAACTTCACTTGGCTACTGGCCTTGGCTGTGTGTGTGTGTGTGTGTTTTGGGGGAGGTTGCCATAGGGCATATGCGCTCAGTGGAGAGAGACAGAAGAAATGTGAGGAATCATCCCCCCCAGGGGGGATGGCCATGCCACTATCCCTTCTCCATTCTCCTCTAGGGATTTCGGGCACGCATGCACACGCAACTTGATTTTCAAGTCTCCGATCGAACCACAGTTGGCAATGTGGGAGTCCAGCACTTTACCCTCCACCCCACCGGCTGGCCGGGCCTTGGCTATTTGAAACAGGACTGTTTAGACCAGCTTCCCCAGATCGATACTAACCTGCTCCTTAGCATGGTTTGGGAGTGTTCCTGCATGTCTTGACCTTTGGCTCAAGCAAGTCATGAATGTCCCGATTTTAAAAAGAAAAGACCAAGCTGCAGCAGACTCCCTGGGCAGTGAGAGAGCGAGTGCTGGTGTTTAGCATAATTGGGCACTGGAATGCCAGGGCTTCGTAGCAGAGGGCATTTTTATTATTTATGCCTAAACAAACACCGGTGAGGGGTGAATTCCACCAGAAAGGTTACGTAAATGTCATATGCAAACGAGAACGAGCCAAGCTTGCAAGAGTCGCTTCTCCAGTTTTGCACGTATATGTACATAAATATAAATGTATACGCACTGTCTATCTGTAACCCAGGCACGTGTGCGTGAGTATGTTTGTGTATGAGTGTGTGTATAATCCACTCCGCGAAATAGTGGAAGGGATGTGAAGACGAACAATGCCCTTGATCATCGATACTCGGCGCTGAGTTGTGAGATGTACTAGGTGTGGTTTTTATTTCATATTTTAAGCAGGTTTGCAATTATGTTTCGAAATGGCAGTCCTGGGAATATTCCGAATTCTGGAAAGAGTTTAGAGAGGTTATTGCCTTCTTAATAATTTAGAGCGTCTATTGCCCTGCCAAGTCAGAAGATTAACATTTAATAGAAAAAAAATTATATATCTATAATTCAGTCATGGCTATTAGATCAGATGGATTTTACATTAAGTGAAAAAGATGTTGAGCATTTAAGGACCATTAAACTACAGGACTCTTTTATTGGGTTTTAAGGCCTCCGAGCCAGGGCCCTGCTGCGAAGAGTATTTATTTTACATACACAGAACGCATTAAGGATGGGAAAAGGGCATACATTTTAAAAGAAAATAGGCCATGAAAAAGTGTGATTTTCCACATTGTGAACAGCCACCGTACAGATTCAGCCTTATTTTATAATAATTAGTTTTATGCATCATTAAACGGCCTCGTACAGACTGGAAGAATATGATGGAGGCCACTTTGGAAGTGCTACCTGCAGGAAATCTCAGTCGCCGGGTGTCCTCGGTTGCTATTTCACTCAGAGAGACCACATTTTGAATAGTTTCCAAGCTCTTTAGGGTTGCCGTGTATTGTTAAGAACTTAAGCGTGAAAATGCCTTCTCTGGTGGTCCTAGAGGGCTGCAAAAACAAAGACCCAGAGAGAAGTCCTGGGAGTGTTGACTTTTTCTTGTGAGGCCCAGACTGTCAAAGAGAAACTGGAATCTGACCCTGAGTAGAATCCCGTGCCTACTGTCTGGGGGGCGCAGGGCGCTCAGTGCCTTCCTATTCGATGCTTTCCCCGTCTCACCCTGCTAAAGTGAAAGCGTGGCAGGTGATACCGTAATTAACAGAAACGTCTACTATTCGGGCCGTGCCTTCTGCCCCATTCCCACCTGCAAGCGCCGGGGAAGAGGAAATTGGATGTAGGAGTAGGAAAGCAGGAGAGGGCCAGCAGGTGGCCCAGACCTGGCTACTGGTGCATGTGCACGTGTGCCCCAAATCCTGCGAGGAGAATGGGGGAGGATCGCAGCACGGCCATCTCCCCCGGGCAGGGTGGGGGAGGCTGTTTCTCACCTTCCCTGTGGCGTCTCTCCAGTTACTGAGTGTGCGCACCCTATGGCAAAACCTAAAAACATAAAGAAAACCAGATAGATTCAGGGAGGCTGTGGGATTGGAGTTAATATGATTTGTAACTTTTTTTTTCCTACAGTGTCCAAACATTTTGTGATTTTTCTTTCTTGCTATTCTAGGCTTTTTTCTTTTTCTTCTTTTTTTTTTTTTTTTAAAATTGCCTCTGACTAAAGTGGCACCTTATGGGCTGCTTCAGACATTTTTCTTCAGGACTTAAAAATGAAGCCAATTCATATTCAGAGTCTTCCTGCTAAAAATGTGTTAAGCCAAAATAAAAATGACTGCTACTTCAATTCTCCCCTCTGTTGTTGCTGCAAACTTCGTCCCACAGGAATCGCAGGGCCTCGTTTGCACAATTAAAAGCCACTCTTCTGGTCCAAATGGAGAGAGATGAGCCCACCCAGGACTACACGTCCTGAGGATGAAAGCGTCTCCCTCCCAACTGAGTAACGTGAGCCCCGTGCTCTTGAGCTTCGAGGCCTTTTTTTTTTCCCCAAGCGAATTGTTCCCCTTGGCCTTAATCCCTAAGCGGTACAGCTCCTTTAAAAGCATCTTTTTCATTCACACCAGCTGACATTTAAAAGAAGACTCCCCCAGCTACTGTTTCTCTAAGTAAATATATCTGTTAGTGGATCAGTTGGAAGGGATTTGTGGTCTGATTATCCGAACACCGTTTACCATCACTCCTGTTGCAGCAACAGGGACAGCCTGAGGGAAGGCCGTTGGGCTGTGCGCTGCTCGGGAGCGTGTGCAGGTACAGAGAGGCCCTTAGCGTGCGCAGGTACACACACAGAGAGGCCCTTAGTGTGTGCAGGTACAGAGAGGCCCTTAGCATGTGCAGGTACACAGAGAGGCCCTTAGTGTGTGCAGGTACACAGAGAGGGGCCCTTAGCGTGTACAGGCACACACAGAGAGAGGCCTTTAGCATGTGCAGGTACACAGAGAGGCCCTTAGTGTGTGCAGGTACACAGAGAGGCCCTTACCGCGTTCAGGTACACAGAGAGAGGCCCTTAGCGTGTGCAGGTACACACAGAGAGGCCCTTAGTGTGTACAGGCACACACACACAGAGGCCCTTAGCATGTGCAGGTACATAGAGAAAGACCCTTAGCATGTGCAGGTACACACAGAGGCCCTTAGCGTGTGCAGGTACATAGAGAGAGGCCCTTAGTGTGTGCATGTACACATAGAGAGGCCCTTAGCGTGTGCAGGTACACAGAGAGAGGCCCTTAGTGTGTACAGGTATACAGAGAGAGGCCCTTAGCATGTGCAGGTACACACAGAGAGGTCCTTAGCGTGTGCAGGTACATAGAGAGAAGCCCTTAGCATGTGCAGATACACACAGGCCCTTAGCATGTGCAGGTACATAGAGGCCCTTAGCATGTGCAGGTACATAGAGAGAGGCCCTTAGCATGTGCTGGTACACACAGAGAGGCCCTTAGCATGTGCAGGTACATAGAGAGGCCCTTAGCATGTGCAGGTACACACAGGCCCTTAGCATGTGCAGGTACATAGAGGCCCTTAGCGTGTGCTGGTACACACAGAGAGGCCCTTAGCGTGTGTAGGTACACACAGAGAGAGGCCCTTAGCGTGTGCAGGTACATAGAGAGGCCCTTAGCAGGTGTAGATACATAGAGAGAGGCCCTTAGCATGTTCAGGCACACACAGAGGGGCCCTTAGCGTGTACAGGCACATACAGAGAGAGGCCCTTAGCATGTGCAGGTACATAGAGAGAGGCCCTTAGCATGTGCAGGTACATAGAGAGAGGCCCTTAGCATGTGCAGGTACACACAGAGGCCCTTAACGTGTGCAGGTACACATAGGCCCTTAGCATGTGCAGGTACATAGAGGCCCTTAGCGTGTGCAGGTACACACAGAGAGGCCCTTGGCGTGTGCAGGTACATAGAGAGAGGCCCTTAGCGTGTGCAGGTACAGAGGCCCTTCCTACACACGCGCTCCCCCAGGCCCCTTGGGCAGGCTCCCGCTCCCTGTTGCCTAAGTAGAGAGCAGTTCCTGGGACAACAGAGAAGCCGAGGATTTCACTGTGACTTGATGCCTTCCCGGAAGAAAGAGCTAGCGCCTTGAGTTTATGCTCTCGGTTCCCAAGCAAATGTCAACATCCATTTTACTGTTCTGTCCTATCTCATTGCCAAGGGTTTCAAGTGGCCCACAATTTTTTTCTCTTAATATGAGAGAGAGGAAAGGGGATAATAAATACCAGAAGAATAGGAAAGGGGCCAGATGGTGGCGCAGCAGTAAAATTCAAAGCTCTGTGAGGCTGCCCACATGGGAAGGTTCCTGGTTCAAGTCCAGGGAGCTCCCTGATCTGAGCACAGGCCTGCCTGCGATGAGGCGTGGTCGAGGCTGGGGGTGGATCGCGGTGGCGAGACCGTACAGGGGGCCACCCTGTCTCATTCTCTTACTTACGGGGGCGGGGGGAGGAAGAATAGGAAAAACAGGCAGCAGCTTGGGATCCAGTAGACATGCCGTAATTACCCTGCTTGCCTTCCTGGAGCTGACCGCCTCATTTTGACCGAGTCTCCGACAAGAACGGGCACCCCCGTTCCGCTATGTCAGTGTGGCCAGCGGGTCCAGCCCCTTGGCTGGTTTATGCCCCCAACCCTTAGTGTGCGCTTCCTAGGGCCCGTGCCCTTGAGCTTGGGGGCCTTTTTTTTTTTTTTTTTTAAAGAAGAGCCTGCCACTTACCATGTTTTCATCAGACTCAACTGTTGACATAACCTTTTCATTGTGGATGGGGTGCATGCGCTTGCCAAAGTGAGAAGCCACCCCCATGGGGGATGGCCGCACCATCGTCCCCTCTCCAACATGCTCCTCTTGGGATTTGGGGCTCATGTGCACACAACACCTGACATGATCTTCAAACTGCTGGGTCTGAGCCTCGAATCACGGTGGCCATGTGAAAATCCAGTGCCTAATCACCTCGCCACCTGCTGGCCCTCACTGTAGACTCTAATAACTTGTTAAATGGCGCTTAATGAGATGACTGAGTGAGAATAGTAGTTCATATTGGGGCCATGAGAAGGCTTTTTTCTGCTCTCTTATTCTTGGACCACAGAGGCTTTAAATGCATTTCTAGAGTAGACATCTGGCTGGTATTTTGTTCTAACCTCCCTTTCTGCCCTTTTTTCCTTTTTATTTCTCATATTCATATTTCTTCCTTCAGGCTTCTTGCATGTTTGACAAAGATTATTTGCTTAGCCAAACTTTAGAAAGGCGCTTGAACTTTCTTTTAGGCTCACGTGGATACTTGTAAAATCCAGTGTCAGCAAACAACTTTGCTGAGTCAGCTTAGCAAGAGCTCTCCCCCCCCCCCCCACCCACACACCTAGATACCCGGTGATCCTGATTCTGATCGGGTCCTTCCTCCACTGGCCCCAGGTGAGGTCTGACCACCCTGGCCCGTCTTGGCAAGAACTCTCCTTACTCCTAATCTTTCCTCTTTTTCGAGAGAGATTTTCGCTATAGGGTGCATGCACTTGCCGGAGACAGAATGTGAGAAATCACTGCCCGGGGTGGGGGTGGGGGGATGGCCAGAAAACCAGGTGCCAAGGAACGGAAAGCAGCAGTCGGAGAAGTTAGGAGAACTGTTTGCTACGCCGGGGGGCACGGAGGAGTTAGCGCACTGAATCTCCGGCCCAGAATGGGGGTCGGACACGGGCTTTTATGGGGAACTGGGGAAAGGGAGGTCTCGGGATGTTAGGAATGGGGAATGGGCTCAGAACCCGCCCTAAACGGGAGGAGGCAGAGAAGTAGGGAGTCTGATCTATTCAGGGTACCAATCTGTTCAAGGTTTCCAGGTTACCCTGAAGCTCCGAGGAGAAGCGGTACGTTTGCTGAGGGCAGAAACTTCGGGCAGCTGTCGGCCCTGAGTTATTCATGAATTCAGGGTCTCTCCACATCACTCTCAGGACTTTGGGCGCGCATGCACATGTGCCTGGAGTGAGTTTCAAGCCTTCGCGCCTGGGACTTGAACCACACCTGGCCATGTGAGAGCCCAGCACCTTGGTCTGCACACCACCTGCTGATTCCCCTTAATCCTGATCTTAACCTCTCAGAAATTTTCCATTCATGGCTGACTGTGGTTCAAGTCTCAGACCTGGAGGCTTGAAAATCACGCTGGGTGCGTGTGCGTGTGTCCAACATCCCAGAAGGAGAATGGAGAAGGGGTTGCAGTGTGGCCATCCCCTGGGGGGTCATTTCTCACATTCCCTCTCACTGTCTTTCTCTGTCACCCTGAGCACATGTGCCCTAAGGTAAAAACGTAAAAAAGAAAAAAATTCCATTCACTGCCCCCCCACCCTTTGGCCATTGGTTCCCACCTGCCAGTGCTGTATTCGGGGTTGAGCACATTCCTCTGCAGCTGTGCTGGAAGAGGCCAAGGTGACTGTATCGCACTCGGTTGTAGTCCCTCCAGAGCCATCACACCTCAGGGAAATCTGCCCTCACAGGGTCCTGCAGAGCCGCCCCCCACATCAGCTGGAGCCTAGTGCTTCATAACGGAAGTTACCAGTAACCTTACTGCGTCGTCACAGAAGCCTGACTGTGGAGACAGGGAAGGGGAGATGCCACCAGCCCCCTTCTTTACGAGGGTCAGGGCCAGGAGGAGCCTTTATCAGCTCAAGCTGACAAAGCCACGCCCAGCCTCCTAGCCAGATCTGGCATTGTCTCCACTGGCTCCGTTTGCTTCTGCGGCCCTGCTCTGCTCTGTGTATCTCTAAGCCCCTGGCTGAAAAGAAACTGGTCGTCCTGCCTGGCCACCATTGCCCCAAGGCGGTCACACCGAGTGGTCCTGCCAGAGACAAGCCTGGAGAACTTGGCCTTCGCTTCTTCCCTGAGCTTCGTCCCCTGTTCCATACGGTGGAGACAGCGGTGGACTCTGGCCTGCCTCTCCCCGTGTTGGCCTCCCTGATTAAACTCCTTTCCCTGCCCACCACGCTGTGTCTCTGTGGCCCTGAGTGGGTGTCCGTGCCTGTCCCAGTGTCACCTCTACTGCAGGATCCTATTGCTGTGGTCTTCACAGCTGCTGCCATGGTCTTGAGTTCTAGAATGGAATCTTCCTTAATACGCTTTAAAAGTATCGTGGAGAAATTGTTTTCTTTAACAGCCTCACGATATCCGACATTCCCCATTTTTGCAGCCCTGAGGGCCATGTGCTCCTATTTTCATCTTCATACCTCCATTCACAGACAAATCACTACTGCTTCCTAAGGCAGCAGGCAGAGCAGTGTGACAAAGTTCATTCATACCAGTTCAGGTTTTCTTGGGGGAAACACATTTATAATATATACACACACACACACACATATACATATATATCTATATACATCTACATATACATACATATATACATATATATATATATGTTTTTTAGAGAGATTTTTGCTATAGGTCATGTGCACTTACCAGAGAGACAGAAAAAGATAAAGAGGGACCAGCAGCTAACGTAATGGCTATGTTACTGGACTCCCACGTAGTCGACCGCGGTTCGAGGATTGGACCCGGTGGCTGAAACTCATGCCGGGTGCGTGTGCGTGCGTGCCCAAGATCCCGAGAGGAGAATGGAGGAGAAGGGATTGCGGCGTGGCCATTCCCCCCTGGGGAGTGATTTCTCGCTTTCTGTCTCTCTGTCTCTCTGTCTCTCTGTCTGGCAAGCACACGCACCCTATAGCGAAAACCTCTCCAAAAAAAAAAAAAAGAAATGATAAAGAGACAGAAAGTAAGAAAGCACGCCCCAGGGGGATGGCCACACCACAGTCCTTTTTTTTCTCCTGTCTTCTCTTGTGACTTGGGGACATACACACACACACGCCTGGTGTGAGTTTTAAGCTACTGGGTCCAGGACTCGAACCGTGGTTGACTATGTTGAAGTCCAGCGATGTAACCATTATGCCATCGGCAGGTCTCCACAATATTTTTATTTTATGTTACTATAAAAGCTGCCAGATGGATGTAAGAATGAGTATTACATTATAATAGAAATAAATGTATTTAATTTCCTAAATTGCTCCCCAGTGTCAACCGTATAACTGAGCAATCCAAATGCCCGTTTCTGGTTGGGCTCCAGAATGTTGAGATATTTGGTTTTGTGGTTGCTAGAACCATGGTTAATTATTGATAATACATGAACAATTATAAATCAATTTTCATTTTATTCTAATTTATTTTATTAGAGATTTTTGCTATAGGGCATACTGCTTTCTGAGACAGAGAGAAAGCGAGAAATCACCCCTTGGCGGGGATGGCCATGCAGCAATCCCTTCTCCTCCGTTCTCTAGAGATTTGGGGCACGCATGTACACACTGAGCATCTTTCAAACCATCAGGTCCAGGATTTGAACTGCAGTTGGCCATGTGGGAGTTCAGCACCTTACCCACTACACCACCTACTGGCCTCTCAATTTTCATCTTGCATGTTTAACCCTCAATAATGTAGCAACTGACAGGAATCTTAGGGAGAGTACCAAAATGAAAGGAAGATGCGTGCATGAAGGGCGGAGGGAGGTGAGCTCAGCAAGTGGAGGCACGAGCTCTGCCTGACCGTCCCCACTCCCTCTTCACAGTTCTCTCCGAAGCTGTGGCTGATCTCCACAGTCCTCCCTGTCTTTGTGTTTATGAACTTTTTTCCAGCGTGTTGTGTGGCGGCCATGCACTGTGATCTTGGGCACGTGGCATTTGAACCACCTTCCTACATTCAGGGAATTCTCTGTCTTAGGAGTCGATAGGAGGTGGGTACCTGCCCATTGTGAGGCTGAAAAATGCCAGTAATTGCTTGTCCCCGACATGGCTGCCTTTGGGGTGCACCCACATAACCCAGGCCAGGTCATCCTGCCCAGGACGTGGGCTACAGGAGTAGGTGACAGAGAGGATATTGATGGCTCTTCCAGCCCACTCCAAGTCAAGTTCTTGACGCAAAGATGGGGATGGCCGAAAGACTCGCATCTCGTGCTTCAGGGGACAGCTGCTGTTTTCTCACAAGACAGGCTTCAGTATGACTTGGAAGCTTTTGTCTGCTTCGGCCATTTCCGCCTTCTCTTTCATTCGATGAGAGACCCACTGCATTTTAAATAAATTCCCTTGCTGTTCAAAACATTGATTTCTCTTGCTTGCAATGAAGAACCTGAGCTGTTAAAACTTTCCTCTTATTTCCAAAGTCAAGTATATTCAATTTAAAAAATTTTAGAAAATGTAGACAGGGAGGGATCAGCAGTTGGTGTAATGGCTATGTCGCTGGACTCCAATGTAGTCAACCGTGGTTTGAGTCCCAGACCCGGTGGCTTAAACTCACGCTGGTGCATGTGTGTGCGTGCTCAAGATCCCGAGAGGAGAATGGAGGAGAAGGGATTACGGCGTGGCCATTTCCCCCGGGGGGGTGATTTCTCGCTTTATGTCTCTCTGTCTCTGTCTTTCTGGCGAGCGCACGTGCCCTGTAGCAAAAGCCTTTAAAAAAAATAAAAAAGAAAGAAAGAAAAGATGAAATGTAGACAGGGAAAAGAAAAAAACTCATCCAAACCTAGAGATAATCATTGCCAATGCTTTGGTGTAATTTTTTAGCTTTTGCTATAGGGTGTGTGTGCTTGCCAGAGACAGACAGAGAGAGGAAAATCTCCCCCCAAAGGGGGCAACCATACCACTGTCTCTCCTCTTCTGGTCTCCTCTCGGGATTTTGGGCATGCACGCACATGCACCTTGCGTGATTTTCAAGCTGCCGGGTCTGGACTCAAACTGTGTAGTCAGCCATGTGGGATCTAGTGCCTTAACCTCCACGCACCAGCTGGCGTATCTTCTAACGTGCTGCATGCATCTTCCAAAGAAGACTGACCTGGAGGAGAATAATAGGGCAGGTTTTGAGGGGGCATTTCCTTTTCTTCACAGAATCCAGTAAATAGGCTTCCCACCTCTGGTGCATGAAAACCCCGGGGTTAAGAATGCTTCACCGGGGACCAGCATTTGGCATAAAGGTTACATTGCTGGACTCCTACATAGTCAACTGCGGTTCGAGTCCCAGACCTGGGACTTAAAACTCATGGCAGGCACATGTGTGTGCATGCCCAAAATCCCAAGAGGAGAATACAGAAGGGACTGTGGTGTGGCCATCCCTTCTGGGGGGTGAATTTTCAATTTATGTCTCTCTGTCTCTCTGCCAAGGTCACGCGCCCTATAGTAAAAATCTGTCTCTCAAAAAATAATAAAATAAAATAGAATACTTAATTGAATAGGATTATTTGGGCAGGAAAGGAAGGTTGAAAGGCTGCATTTAACCCCTGTAGCTAATCTGAGAATCACAGACTAAAGAATGCTAACTAGCACAGAGGTTGCATTTTTCCTGATTTTGCTCCGTACCCTTTAGTTTTCTTTTTTCACTCCTCGGAAGCTCCAGGCTTGCATCCAGAATTGTCGGTCTTCTTGGTGACTGGCCCTGGCGTGCTGCCTCTAGCAGCCTTCCCTAGCCTGTGTCTGTGCCTTACCTAGTATGGCATGTTGTTTAAACAAATACTCCCTGCGGGATTTGCTTTCTGGTGTGCTGTGAGGTACAGTTGCAGTTTCATTCTTGCCCCCGTTGCTATCCAGCTTGTCTGAATAATTTATCTTTAATCTACTCCACTGACTCCGTACTGCCCCCTCGAGCACATGTTAAATTCCGATATAGATCTGGGCTACGTTTAACCTCTTCTTTCGTTCCATCGGCCTGCCTACCGTTTACCGCTGCTTCAAACTCTCTTGCTTGCAATGAAGAACCTGAGCTGTTAAAACTTTCCTCTTATTTCCAAAGTCAAGTATATTCAATTTAAAAAATTTTAGAAAATGTAGACAGGGAGGGATCAGCAGTTGGTGTAATGGCTATGTCGCTGGACTCCAATGTAGTCAACCGTGGTTTGAGTCCCAGACCCGGTGGCTTAAACTCACGCTGGTGCATGTGTGTGCGTGCTCAAGATCCCGAGAGGAGAATGGAGGAGAAGGGATTACGGCGTGGCCATTTCCCCCGGGGGGGTGATTTCTCGCTTTATGTCTCTCTGTCTCTGTCTTTCTGGCGAGCGCACGTGCCCTGTAGCAAAAGCCTTTAAAAAAAATAAAAAAGAAAGAAAGAAAAGATGAAATGTAGACAGGGAAAAGAAAAAAACTCATCCAAACCTAGAGATAATCATTGCCAATGCTTTGGTGTAATTTTTTAGCTTTTGCTATAGGGTGTGTGTGCTTGCCAGAGACAGACAGAGAGAGGAAAATCTCCCCCCAAAGGGGGCAACCATACCACTGTCTCTCCTCTTCTGGTCTCCTCTCGGGATTTTGGGCATGCACGCACATGCACCTTGCGTGATTTTCAAGCTGCCGGGTCTGGACTCAAACTGTGTAGTCAGCCATGTGGGATCTAGTGCCTTAACCTCCACGCACCAGCTGGCGTATCTTCTAACGTGCTGCATGCATCTTCCAAAGAAGACTGACCTGGAGGAGAATAATAGGGCAGGTTTTGAGGGGGCATTTCCTTTTCTTCACAGAATCCAGTAAATAGGCTTCCCACCTCTGGTGCATGAAAAC